GCTTGCACGTCCTCATGACAAGCTACTGTCTTAGCTATACGCGTCTGAAGCCTATTTTTAGCCCCGCTCGTCTCAGCTTCGTCCAGGCTTCAGAAACTGGTAGTCTGATGCCCCTCCCCCCCTTCAGCCTAACGATCACATCCCCTCCCCCTCTCCTCAGCCTAACGATCACCCCCCCTCCCCCCACCAGCCCAACCAGTACCCACCCTATCTATTCTCCCCCCTCTCCTCCCCCCTCCCCGGTCCTCCTGGCGTCTCCAAAAGCGCTTACGTCAAGGCCTCTCTGGTCGCCAGCCAACGCGTCCGATTCCCTTTAGCCTTCGACACCCAAAGCAGAAGTCGTGGTCAGGTTTTGGGACAAGGCGGAGTAGGACAAAACATTACGAACGAGAAGGAAGAAGTTTACGTTTTCATGAAAATGTATATATATAGACTTTTTTTCTTATCAAAGAGGTACCTTAAAATTTTCCAATTCTTTGTTATAAGTAAAAGGAAGATCGTGAATCTCCTCTAAGGGATCAAGGAATCCGATCCTAACATGATCGAGAAAGCAGGAGCTCGAATCCCCGCTGCCAGGGCGTGTCTGCCCGAGCCAAGGATGAAGCGTGGGCGCGAGAGGCTCCAGATAACACCACTCTCGCCCACGTCTGAATCCGCCCATCTACACCCTTCTGCCACGCCCGAAGACCCGCCCTGCACGCCCTCTTCTTCTTAAAGGACGACCGTATCCAAGGGAGGGCGTCGAGATTCCCGCGCCATCTATAGGGGATTCTTAAAGGCATTCGATCCTGTTCTGGGCATTCGATCCTGTTCTGGAATCTATTGCGAGAGCGAACAAGGACCCTCGCGAGGAGCAATGACGGGGAAGCAGATCCCGGTCCGCTTTTTTCTGGTAAACCGCTTTTTTTTGTCCTTTTTTGAGGCGGGATGAATCGTATTCTACCGTTGGAGCGAGGTCGCGTTGATTGCTCTCGGATCCATGATTCTGCAGGATGCCTTTGGCGAGATTGTCTATCGGAGGGACGCTGGTGAAGGGAAAAGTCCTTGATAGATAATGGATCAATATATATCACCCGCAAATCGACAGCTAAAGTATCGCTCTGATTATACCTATTTCAGTGAAATTTTCCGACTGAGAGAAATATATATATTTTTTCGTGTGGGCGGCCGAGGGAGCGCCAAGGGCGGGCGCGGCGACGGCCCCTCGACGTCGGCAAAGCGTAGCGCGTAGGTTTTGCGACCCGGGCGGCGTCGGAACGCGCGATCCCGACCCGACCAAGGCTGCAGCGTCGAGTCCGGGCGACCTTCGGCCTGCGAGCTCGACATTAATCAGAGATCTGGGTTATTATAGCCGGCTGGCGGACGACACCTTCGCCTCGGGGGGTCGAGCGGGCGCCGCGACGCTTGGCATTCAGCGCCTCCGCTTCCGCCGCCGAGGGGACCCGCGTCGCGTGCTCACTGCCGGCAGAGGACGAGGAGGAATCCTGCCCTGATGTCCCCATGAATAATGTTAAAAGACGCCCCCGACGCTCGACGAATAATACACCCTGCGTAGCCCTCCCAGCGCCTCCGGTACACCTTGGACGCTCCTTATCCGCGGTTCGTCAGCTTCGGAAAATTAATAATTCATGGTCCAGCAGACGAAGGGGTTCATACCGTCGCCGCGATCGCCAGCGAGAGGAAGTGATCTCCGCTTCTCACGACAGACAGACAGAGAGAGAGAGATCGCCACGCGCTGATAATTCTCCCCCTTTTCCTTCGTGGGAGATGATCTTGCGATGAGACTTTTTCTTAATGGTGATTGAGGTTCCCTTTCGGAAGAAAACTGTGACGGGAATCATCTGGCTGGGTGGAATTTTTTTTTTTTTTTTCGGCCGTGGGAGTTAGTTCCGTGTTTAGATCAAGAAATACCCGACGTGCATTTTTCTCTTTCTTTCATTTTTTCTTTTTCTTTTATGTAATATCGGTTTTCTTCGACCTACTTTTTTTCTGGCAAATGGCCGACGGTGAGAAGAAAGAAATACGTACGTCAACTATCCCGGAAATCGATCATTAAACCTCCGCGTACAGCATTTGCATAAATTCACAATAGGATCCAACTCTCTAAGTGTCTTTAAAGGCGGTCAGATCCTCCCTTCCTCTTGCCAGGCCGAGTGTTCGTAACAGATGCGGAGGCGCGGACAGCTGTGCGCGGTGAGGCAGCTGCGGAAGGCATTTACCCGCCAGGCATCGGATACACACACACACACGCAACGCACGCATTCGAAAACACGACACACGCACGCACACAGCACACATACACTCGAAAACACACACACACACATACACACAAACATACACACACACGCACTTCGACACATACACACACAGCCCACACATACACACACACACTCACACACGCAGAAGAACACACAGGATGCTGGCCTGTTTCTCGAGACCGGTATTCGGTGTCTCACAAGATGTTACTGGGCAGGACTTGTGTTCGATTTTCTTTTGTTTTACTAGTTTTACGACGAATTAAATCTTATTATTTTGATAATCAAAAGTTAAATCTTAATATTTTGATAAAGTTAAATCTTGATTTTTTTATTATCGAGGTTAAGTCTCACTGGTTTAATTATCAAATGAAATCTTAAGGTTTTGATTATCAAAACTGAATCCTATCTTAATTATCATAGTTATTTGAAGGATTATTTAATTCTTGCTGGCACTCCTTAGTAAATTAAAGATATTATTTTTCACACATCTTTTCTCGGAATGATATATAATGTATTCGTAAAAATCCATTAAAGATCTGTGATCCATTATGCATAAATTTCCCGCCAAAAAAAAAAAAAATTCACCTGCAGTTCCTCCTCGACCAGGAAGCCAAAACCCCGATAACTCGAACCGAACAACAAACACCAACACGCTAACACACTTCCTAACCTGAGACGCAGAAACACCAACCCATTCGGCAAAGAAAACGACAAAAAAAAAGAAAGAAAAAGAATGCAGAATCGTAAAAAAAAGCCCTTAAACTACGACCCTGAGGGCTGTCGGGTACTCTTTGGGACCGTCTGCCCTACTAAGCCAGTGACGCGACCCTGATTTAGCGACGCCCGGGCTCGCCACTGTCCAAAGCCGGGTTGTGTTCCAGAGACACTTGTTTTTTATCTACTTTTCTCTCCTTTTTTTGATAGTGGCATTTGGAATATTGTTTTCTCTCTTTCTTTTCTTCCTTTAAAGTTGGTCTTTTTTTAGTACAGGAATTCGGGATATATTAGATTTAAAAAAAATAAATAAAGAAAGAAAGAATGTGTTCGAGTGACGCCGGTTTTGAAGTGTTCGTTAACGGATTTTTTTTTCGAGGTGAAATCCTTTCTTTTTTCTCTTTATTTCTAGATATTGGCGCTAGAAATATAATTTTCTCTCTTATCTTTTAAGGTTAGTACAGGAAGTACTAGATATCCATACCCGCAATATGCACGCCCACCTGTGTGTGTGTGTGTGTGTGTGTGCGTCTGTGTGTGTGTGTGTGTGTGTGTGTGTGTGGTGTGTGTGTGTGTGTGTGTGTGTGTGTGTGTGTGTGTTGTGTGTGTGGTGTGTGTGTGTGTGTGTGTGTGTGTGTGTGTGTGTGTGTGTGTGTGTGTGTGTGTCATTGTGTACTGCGTGTGACTGCATGTGTATCTGTGTGTATCTAGGCGTGTGTATACATGTCCGCGAGTGTAAGACCCGCGACACAGGAGGAGGGAAAGCCGATGCGTCAAGCCTTATTTGGGAAGATGGGAGGAAGACGGGGGAGGGGGAGGGAGGGGAGGGAGGGGGAGAGGCTCGCTTAGTATTCCCTCCTCAATGACAGTCACAGGCGAGACAACAGTGGGTTTTTATTTTTTTTTTTTTTCTTTTTTTTTTTTTTTTTTACAGGAGAAGACAAGACAATAAGAGAGAGAGAGAGAGAGAGAGAGAGAGAGAGAGAGAGAGAGAGAGAGAGAGAGAGAGAGAGAGAGAGAGAGAGAGAGAGAGAGAGAGAGAGAGAGAGAGAGAGAGAGAGAGAGAGAGAGAGAGAGAGAGAAAAAGATAGAAATAAAGAAAAGAGGAAAAAAAACAAAACATACAAACAAAAACGAAAAAAAACATACAACAAAAAGAAAAAAAACACACACAAAATAAGAAAAAAAGATACAAAAAACAAAAGTAAATGAAGACTAAATTACGACCTTATGGACCTTATGACAAAGAGAAGAAGGAGTGATGCTGCACGAGAGGAGAGGACACAGCATCACCCGCAGCATCCGTCGCTTTTTGAAGGGAGATGCTGTTTATCTTACTGCGTGACTTGCATTTTTTATGAAGTCTGACTTGCAATTTTCCAAAATTTGCGTTTTGGTTTTATTTTCGCATTTTTCTCGACTGGGGAAAAAATATATCCGTATGAGTATATTTCAAAAGGAAGGATTTCTGTTTTTTTTCTCTTTTTTTCTAATTATTATTTAGATACTTTCTTTCTTTTTTGAACTAATTATTATTTAGATATTTTTCTTTCTTTCTTTTTTGAACTAATTATTATTTAGATATTTTCTTTTCTTTCTTTTTTGATATTTTCTTTCTTTCTTTTTTGAACTAATTATTTTTAGATATTTTTTCTTTCTTTTTTGAACTAATTATTATTTAGATATTTTTTTCTTTCTTTTTTGATAAACTAATTATTATTTAGATTTTCTTTCTTTTCTTTTTTAACTTGTATTTCTTTCTTCTTTTTTTGAACTAATTATTATTTAGATATTTTTCTTTCTTTTTTGAACTAATTATTATTTAGATATTTTCTTTCTATAATATTATTTAGATATAACTAATATCTTTCTTTCTTTTTTGAACTAATTATTATTTAGATAATTATATGGAAAAAATATATCCGTATGGGTATATTTCAAAAGGAACGATTTTGTTTTTTTTTTTTTTGTTTTTTTTATCAATTATTGTTTAGATAATTATCGATTCATCAGTCATCGTTATAGACC